ATTTTAAAATGCTGTTTTGAAGGTTTGAATTTTCTTCTTGAAGCTGAGTGAACATTGCACATTTTGATTTCAAAGACAAATTTTCCATTTTTAATGAAGTATTTTCTTTTATCATTTCCTGAAGCTTTTGTTCCGTTTCCACGTGCGTTGCTTGAAGGTTGTCATATTCTAATTAAACGTAATTAAATTATAATAAAAAAATCAAAGAAAGAAACAAATACACGTTAATGAAACATTAACGGTTGTGAGCTGTAACGACACCAATGTACGATAACTTGAGAGGTTAGAACAGACCATAGTTGCAGAAAATTAATTATGCATTTATTGAATAACAAAAATGTTTTTCGATTTTCCTATTAGCTACCAGGCGCTGTTAACCGATAAAATTTTGTGACAAATTACTACAATAAAAAATTGACCCATTCGAAGTGCTGCTCAAATTTGTTCAAACAAATATTCCATTTTTCAAACAATATTCTTTGGTTCAAAAGAAGACTATCTGACCTAACTTTGATTAAAAAAAATGTCTGACTCCTCTGCTATTGATGGTCAAAGTTCTTCAAAAAATAGATCTTTTCTGAAATATCGGGAGAATGGTACGATGTATTTTGGTGAAACTCGATGTGAATTTGTTCTTATGGCTCCACTGCCAGGTTTATGGGCAAAGTTAAAAAATACGGTTTTTGTAAAAATGTAATTATCTCCAAAATTGCAGAAGTTCAGGAAAAGCTTTCCGTTCTACGTTTCTATTAATGTTATAGATAAAACAACCTGAAGAAACTATCCTATTTTCAATGCACTGAAGACTTTATTGAAATAAGGTTACTTAAAAAGTTACTGAAGATTCACACGAAAATTGACTGAATATATAAACTAAAATGGAGTTTTAAACATACATACCTTCTGATTTAGATGCCAGTTCTTTGGAAGAATTTTGTAAAACTTGATACTTGTCATTGAGGTCATTAAATTTCGATTTGTAGTCCCAAGGTGCAATCTTTTTCGATACTTTTGGCTTAGAACATCCATCGTTGTTCACCTTTGTTGTTACTAATGGTCTTTTTTGGGCCGTGGCAGCTAATGGCATTCTTGATGAACTGGCGATG